TGTGTGTGTGTGTGTGTGTGTGTGTGTGTGTGTGTGTACTGTATGTACGTATTAAGGCATTTTAAACCCTTCCCACACTCTTGCAATGTTCTAAACAATGTTTCTAAACTCTAAATGCTCTAAAAGTGCACAGAAGCACAGAATGTAATGATTTCAGCTCTCTTGGCCACGCCCACTTCTCAGCTCTGCACGGTGAACAGCTGATCAGCTGCAGCAGGAAGTTTACCCTGCAGTGCGGGCTGCACAGAGACGCAGGAGGTGCTAAATAATTTTAAATAGTTTATTTTAAATAAAAAAATCCGTGTCAATTGTGCGGCTCATCCATTAATCAGCCAATTATGTGTCATGCCCAATCTTATTTTGAAAAACAGCGAGAGCGAGTCCGCGATAAACAAATGGCGAAGTAGCGAGGGACTACTGTACTGTTTTTTCTGTTTAGTTGTATTATGAACAAACAATCACCAAGCTGCATCTATAGCCTCAAGAACAAAACTGTCAACACAAATATATTTTTAACTCGGTAAATTCAATATAACCTGCATCTATACCGATCCGGTTAAACCAGATGTGACAGCTTCTCTTGAAAAGGCAAAACCCAAAGCAGAGCAACAACACAGGGCCCGCTCAGATGAAGAAGTGAAAAAGGCATCCAAACAGTGTTTCCTACACCGTCTCTAACAAACTACGACACACAGCCCTCCTTATGCAAACGCTAATGAGGCGTGGAGAAGTTAGAAAATTGAAGATTTCATGCTTTTTACTTTTGTCATGTTTTATTTATGAGATTGCTTGCAAGTGCAACATCATAAATAAAAGACAGAACCTCTACACGTTTGTAACGGCGTTTCTGTTTGAACTATTCGCTGTGCTTCTACCCACGACTCCACAAAAACAACAACACACAAAGACGTCTGGGAGAGTTTAACTGTCAAACACTTCAGACACAAAGAGACGCCGTTTCCTTTAAGCAGTTTGCTTGATTGGCATGTTTTTGATAATATGTCATGTCTAATTTTATTTAGATATTTCAAAAGTTGTTCTTCAGTAAAGCAATCAAAATAAAGAAAAAGTATTTAAAAACTAATAATCTTTTTGTTAGAAAGCCACACGTGTGCACTTTAACATATTTAACGTGCACAAACAGGTTTCTCTCATCATTTTTTAAAACTTATAAAATATATTCTCTGATAACATTTTCTTTATTGAAGCAAAAACCTTTTTTTAAAGTCAGTTATTTTTTCATTTAGAAATTTCCTGATGCATGCTCAATAATCTGTTGCATATATATTCAATATATATATATGTATATATATATATATATATATATATATATATA